AATTTGAATTTATTATAAAATATCCAGCTTTTCTAACAGAGGATTGTTGATTGGCTTTTTTTTTTTGTTTTTTTTTTTGCTCCATGTTATTTTATTTTTTGTTTATCGTTTGAGTGTGATTCTCAGGATCAGCATCATGGGAATAAATCTCACTCTTTCCCAAAGCATCTACTATTCTACTCTAAATATCGGCCTTTTCAAGGTCCCGCAAACTCCATTCTGGAGTGTAGTCATGTGTTTGTACCTGATAGCCCTGCGGTGTGTTTCGGAGGGTAGTCCTGCTCACCCTGTGGTGTGTGTGTCGGGGGGTTGTTCTCAGTAAAAGGTTATAGAGAACAGCTCCGCCCACGAGTCATACGGGACGGGGTCCAGCTGGCACGGTCAGTGCTCTGTCCTCGCTGTCTGCTCACCTCCGGCATAACCCCTGCCCAGCACCACCCCCCTACACTCCTCCACTCCACTCTGGGTCGCTGCCAAGACGCTACCATTAAACTTGGCAGTGAGGAGATAGAGAAAGACTGACATCAAGTGTGGGTGTGTCGTGTTCCTGCGTCTCATTGTATTGATGTCACATTAGGGTAAAATAACTCACCTGAAGCCTGGATGTGATGTTTAAATGTAAACCTCACACTTAGTCCAAAGAGTGAAACCAAACTATGCTTACATTTGGATGCGCTGCAGTTCTTTTGCTGGAATTATTAGAAAGTGAATGACTTTGTATTTCTCAACAGAGATTTTAAGTAAGCCTTCAAACAAACTTTCACATTTTTAAAAATTCAAATTTTTATTGGTTTCATAAAAGCACTCCTTTGGTAACTATATAGAAATTTACATTACTGTTCGAAAGTTAGGGGTCAGTAAGATTTTAAATTTTTTTTTGGAAGGGAATTAATTCTTTTTTTCAGCAAGGATGCATTAAATTGATCAAAAGTGACAGTAAAGACTGTCAGTTGAAGGATTTCTATTCCAAATAAATGATGTTCTTTTGAACTTTCTGTGTATCAAAGAATCCTAAAAAATGTAACATGGTTTCCACAAATAAATTTAGCAGCACATTTTAACATTGATAATAGTAAGAATTGTTTCATGAGCAGCAAATCAGTGTATTAGAATGACTTCTGAAGGATCATGTGACACTGAAGACTGTAGTAATGATGCTGAAAATTCAGCTTTGATCACAGAAATAAATTGCATTTTAAAATATTTTATGAAAGAAAACAGCTATTTTAAATTGTAATAAAAATTAACAATATTGCTGTATTACTGTACAATTTTATTGTATTTTAGATCAAATAAATGCAGACTTGGTGGGCATTAGAGACTTTTTTTAAAAAACATTAAAAATGATTACCGACCCCAAACTGATGATCGGTGTAAAGATGTATAGAACAAGTATATAGAAAAATGGGTAGTCAAACCCAAATAAATAAAACATATAGTTGTGAATGTCTTTAGTTGTAGTTTTTGCTAATTATTGTCATTGTAGCCAGGACATTGGTTCCATAATTAGCAGAGTCATTACCAGCAGTGAGTCACAATTCAGATCTGAAGGTCAACATGCTGAGATTACCTGTCTTGATGGTCAATGTTTTAATAGATGACAATTTCTTTTCATACAATTTTCATAAATTGTTCTACTTGCTTGTGCATTCTTTTAGGAATACAATGACGAGAAGACCAACAATGGCATCCACTACAGGTTACAGCTTCTCTACAGCAACGGTGAGACCCATACTGCCCCTGCAAACCCTTTCCATATCCCATCAATAACAAAGACATATTGCAAGGCAGAGCGGGGCCAACTGTTAACGATATGTAACCACAATCATGCAACTTGTCTCATCACATCTGGGAGAGTATTTGAGAGCTCCATCTGTTTACCCTGAGAGGAGTTCATGCTGTTGAACACATTTGCCACCCTTTCACAGTTTACGCTCATGTCTAATGTCATTCCACGCTACTCACCCACACAGACACATTAAACAAGGCCTCATTTGGGCTCTTAGTTCTTAGTAAAGTACACACAGACTGGCTACATTAAGAGTAGGTGCTATGTTACACTTGTCATTATTAATGATTTAAATTGTTTATATATAAGTTGTTTAGAAATTGTTAAATTGTTTATATATAAATATATATGTATACACACACACACACACACACACACACACAACCATTTAAAAGTTTGCCTATGAATTATTTGTAAAAATAAATTATTTAATTAAATTAATAGCAATGATCCAATAAATTGATCAAGTGTGACTGAAGACATTTAGACATTTTACAATGTTAGACATTTTACATATTACAGTATTTTTTAAATATTGATAATGAGCAGCAAATCAGCATGTTAGAATTATTTCTGAAGGATAATGCGACACTGAAGCCTGGAGTAATGATTTTGAATATTCTATATCTATTGAATATTTTATATCTCTTAGGGGGGCAATAGAGGTAATAGAGGGCAATGATGGTAATATTTTCAAGTGAACGCTCGAAATACATTATTTAGGCAACACTTTACAATAATTAACTAACACGTTAATACACTTTAATACATTAACTAATATTAACTAATCAAACCTTATTGTAAAGTATTACAATTATAGCATATATATGTTCACAAAAACACTGTTAAATTAAACAGAAAAGCAAGCAGGTGTGCATGATTTGGCGTTGCAGCCAATATAAATAATGACCTTTCCTTACCTAAATCCTGCGTTTGGACCAGGCTCGGTTGCAGAATCACGTCTGTGCTTCTGAAATTATTATGTTTTTCTATATAGTGTAGTAGTTAGCTATCTCTGTGTCGTACGTGGCCGCTTGTCAAGCATGAAAAACACAAGTTTTATTTAAATTCTGAATATATTATCGTATACAGAATGCAAAGAGTGCTCCCTTTAAATTTATTAAAAACTGTCACTCATTCATCAAGATCTCACAAAGTTCCAAAAATAAACAACCAAACAAAAAAACAATGAACGTGACTACATAATGAAACTTTTTTAATGTCTTTGTTAGAAAGAAGTTACGAGCATGATAGAACTCAGCACTGGACAAAAAACGATGACTGGAGCGGTGAGTGCGTGGATTCCAACCTAAATACCTCTGATTGGCCACTGCGTTTTAGAAACCAACAAACATGTCTGTGATTGGCTACATTGCTCACCTCTGAGAAAATGCATTGTAAAATCATTTGACGCTTTACTTCGTAGACATCCTTAATCGCTAATAACTCCATTCTGCTCTCTGTTGTTCTATTGTCGGTGTTTCTTTGTCTGAATACGGCACTTATCACATGCTGTGTGGTATCGGCGTTTGGTATCGGGGCATTTTAACGAGTACGAGTATGAGTACAAGAGCTCAGTATCGGGCCTAATTACGAAGAAAACAGATCCTAGACCAGGGGTTATGGGCAACTTTTCCATCTAAAAGCAATCAGAAGCAACAGCAGGCAGTTGTATGAGTAAGACTATTATACACGCTAAACTCAAGTCCGACCGTCCCCCTCGGTCCGAAGGGGGGCACAGGGATGTCCGTGTGGGGGCCAAGCCCCCCCGGCCCCCCCTCTGGCGCCAGGCCTGTTTAATGTCTTCTGAATTCATAACTTTGTGTGAGGCAGGACGCCATTAATGAGAGATGTAGAGATATTCAATTCACAAACAAATCATTCTTTTGTGTGGGATTCTTTCAATGAATCAGTTCATCCTGTTCACAAAACCAGACTGATTTGTTCATGAATCTGACTGATGCATTCAATTAGGGTTTGGAACGACATGAGGGTGAATAAATGAAGTGAGCTACTCCTTTAACATACATTTAAATAGTTACAAATACCACCTTGAAAATTTAAAATCAAAATGTAAGTTTTTATAAAGTGTGTCTCAACATGTATGGTATAGGAAGAGTTGGAACCAAAGTCTCAGTACAAGATTGTTCTCTTCTCCTGCTCTAATGATTACAGCTAGTGGTGAATGATTTGTCTGTAGATGTGGATTCTCTGTCATCCACCAGACAGCAGGGCAGGAGAAAAGTGAACTCTCACACTTTAAGATGGGAAAATCATAAATAGTAGAAAAACTCAGAAGCTGAGCCAAGTTTGTTTTTGCTAAGAAGCATTAACGGAATAGCTCAGTCAGCATGACAAGCATAACAGAATGCGCATAAACATACTGTAGGGAAAAGAATAATAAAACAAATTAATTTCCAAGACTTTCCATAAGAAATGGGTCCCTTTATGTAGACTTTTCAAAATAATTGGGCTTTGCGTTTGGGACAGGCTTTCTGTTCTGTTTGCTCAAAGAGCCTTTTAATTTGAACACACTTGATTCTATTAGTATTTGTGTTGAAATATGGCACATTAGATTTTTTTTTATCATGCAACTGAGCAGGATTTTATTATATGCAGAGCATAGGAGAACATTTTGTTTACGAGATGCATGTTTTTGTGTCTAATGTAAATTTATTCCATTTTAAACCTCCAGGTATCAGGACAGAACAGGATCTGTATGTTCGATTAATAGACTCCATGACTAAACAGGTAAGTGCGGTTTGTTTGTTTTTTTCTTTGAAATTATTTACACCTTTATAACTCAAATGAAAAGGCTACTATAGTATGCCTATACTATAAGTATATACATCATTACAAATCTCAACTGCTTGATTGTTATATTGCCATTGTATATTAATATTTTTATATATTTATTTTGTCACAAAATGTAACTATATTACCCAGCTCTTTATATAAAGTTTGATATACAAGTATGTCCAACTTTATCCACATACATATAGTATACTCACATAAAGAGATATGTATACTATATAGTGATATAGCAAATCTCAACTGATTGATTTCTTTATTTTGTCGTAAAATGTAACTATATTATTACCCAGCTCTTTATATGTAGTTGAATATATAGTACTTCCTACTTTACTGCATAGATATATTCACGTAAAGCAATGTATACTATGTAACAAATCTCAACTGCTTGAAAGCTTATATCGTCTCAAAATGTAAACTATATTATCGCCCAGCTCTAATCTGTTAAATGAGACTATAGATTATGAAGATATCATAATAAAAATAAATAAACGAATAAATAAATAATAAATAAATAATAAATACATTTAACTTGACTAAAAGTGCATGTGCTGGACACTGCACACAAATAAAAGTCCCATTAGAGATGCCTCTCATACTCTCAACTCAGTCCTGCACCTGCGTTCTTCATTCCGTCATGAAATGGACCAGATTTCAACCCCCACCCCGGTCTTCGTATGGCTTATCCTTTCCTCAGCCCAGCAGGTCCCACTGTCACTGTGTGTCAGCCTTTCTCAGATCAATATGGCAACCAGTTCCTCGACAAAGCATCAACCCTGGAGACCAATCAATAGGCCTTAATGTAGCTGCAGAGCCGACACACTGGAGACAATAATCCTCCCGACGACAAAAAAGGGCTGTTGTTGTGCGCGCCTGTAAAATCCTTCCCCCCCTACCAGCGCACACAGGCTTTACATATGTGCATCAACAGCAAAGCTGCAAATATCGATAGAGAACAACCCGTTTTTTTCTTCTAATTGAGAATATGAGCGAGAAGGCTCTTAGTTGAGTTAAGCCGCCTCCAATTTGAACGTTTCCCCAAAATTAATTTAGTGAAATAGTTTTGTACTGCTAATCGAAATATTTCTTGTAAGGTGAGATGACTTAATTAAGGTACCAGTAAAGAGCGTGTTTGGAGTTCATGGAAGAGTTGTAACACTATTCCATATCGCTGGAGTCAGACGTGCTTGAAGAACCAGGGTGGGGCCACTACCTTGGCGCCAGCGATGTGAATCAAGAACGATGATATATAAATATCGACCCGATCCACCTCCCGACCCCCACCGATCCCAAATCCCCTCCCCCTTCGACAAAAATGGAGGATGGTGATGAAGAGGAAGATACTTTCATAGGCAGCAGAGAGAAAGATCAATAATGTAGAAGTGGTCGTTATACTAAAAGTATTGTTCCCTAGGGCGTTGGGTCAACCCTGTCTGGCCGACTGACCAGAGTCGGGTAAGATGGAGGATAGTTTAAGGTGGATTGTGTTGTGCGTTCTTTATGTGTGTGTGTTTATGATGGATTCATCTTCACTGGTGATGGGGATGAGGTCTGGTAGGAAGGGGGGTGAGTCCTTTAACTTCCTTGATATGCACCGATCATCCGTCATTCAGGCCAGGCATGACAGCCCGATGACGGATGCCTGGGAGGAGGGCTCTCTTTTGGGGCCTGGCTGGCCATCTGGCTGCTCGGGGTGGATGCTGATGGGGAGAACGGGAAGATTGTTACTCCACATGAGCCCCAGCAGAGTCTGGACCCCCCTCAGATTGCTGCATACGTCCAGCCGCCGTTGACCAGATTTAGCTTTTAGCATATGTTAAAGTTGTCAGCATGCTTCGAACCAAAAACATGACTAATGACCAGGTGTCAGCATCCTGAACATCTTGAGCAATATCTGGTTTCGGGATGAGCTAAAGGAGGAATTTGGTCAAGTCACAAAACAAGAGGATTGAATAAATTGATCAAATGTGACAATAAAGACATTTATAATGTTACAAATGATTTCTATTTCAAATAAATGTTCTCATTATGAATTTTCTCCTCATCAAAGTATTTTGAAACGGTTTCCACAAAAATATTAAGTGGCACTGTTTTCAACTGTTTTCAATATTGATGATAATAAATGTTTCTTGATCACCAAATCAGCATATTAGAATGATTTCTGCAGGATCATGTGACACTGAAGATTGGAGTAATGACTACTGAAAATGTAGCTTTGCCATCACACAAATAAATTACATTTTAAATTATAGTAAAATAGAGAAGTTTTTAGTTTTTAAATTGTAATAATATTTCACAATATAAATGTTTTTACTGTATTTTTAATCAAATAAATGCAGTCTTGGTGAAACTTCTTTCAAAAACATTTACAAATCTTACCAACCCCAAACTTTTGAACAGTATTGTATTTTGAGGTAAACACATTCAAAGCACTACTGGGGCAAGTTGTCACATTGCATTAAATTAACTTTTTTTCCCCAAACAATAATTGTGGAAAGCATGAATTTGTCTCTCTTTCTTCCTTATAGGCAATCCTTTATGAAGGCCAAGACAAAAACCCAGAGATGTGTCGCGTTCTCCTCACCCATGAGATCATGTGCAGGTCAGTTCATATTTACCTCTCATTTTTTATAAGAACAACCTGAGACTTCTATAACAAACACAGCTCTGCTCATATTCGAAGCACTAACATATTGAAGACAACGTAACATGCAGTTTTTGAAGTATCTTTTAATGCCTTATTAATTCCTTTTTTATTATTTAACATGAAAAAATGTATTACGCCTCATATTACGGATCATGATTCAGTATCACTATGTGAGAGAGACTTTAGAAGAACATTAACATATGGTTTGGGAGTTCAGCTCACGGGTGTACCGCAGGGTTGCATAGGTGGGCCTACATGATCCTTCCCGCTCCACTGTGAAGTCCTACAGGGCTTTCCTCATTACATTGACCTTAATGCAGTGTAATTATGGGTTCACAGTGGGCTTGCATGGCTGGAGGCCTGGATAGAGGTGTATTGTCCATGAATTTTTGCCTGATGGCCGTTGGAGGGGGCTGAGGATCTGTAGGGAAGCGGTGCTGGGGGGTCGAGGAAGTTAAGGGGGCTCAGAAGCTGGTGTCTTGGGTAACGGGGGGCTAACTTAGAGTTAATAATGTAGTGAAGGGAAATGATGGGGCTTCGTTGGGCACCCAAGGGCCGGTGGGAGATGCAAATCCTCCAATAGAGTGTAGCAGTGATTATATATTTTTGTAGGCCAGCCCTAAAGTTAGCATCACCCCGGCTCCCTCGACAAAAACCTAATAAGATTTTTCCATTGGCTTTTGGATGATTGCAGAAAATAAGCTCTGTGACCAACAAAAGTTTATGATTCTTACACGTTTTGTTCGTCATGATAATATTCACAATTGGACACAGTTTTTATGAATTTTGAAGGCTAAATACAGTTGCCAAAAGTAAAAAGCCAAACGTAGACTATAAACGAACTACACCACGGTTGCATGACTTCAACATCACAATCATTAAGCTGACAGCTATTTTAGTCTTTATTTAAAACACATTTTCCCTGAAAGTTTGAGTTAGAATAGTTTGCAAGAGTGCAATTATAAACAGTGAGGCTGTAAAAATGGGCTAGTGCGTAGATGAGTTTTCATGTTCGGTTTGATGATGTTTATTGTCTCCAACAACCTCTGTAGTTCCATTTAGCCACTTGTTAGCATCCACCTTTTTCAACACAAGTAAAGTCACAAGGGGTAATACTGGTATAGTGTATGTTGAAGAATAAAACTTGAAAATATCTTGAGCTTGTGTTAACCACAGACCTTATTTCAGGCATTTAACCAAAAACCCATTTAAAAAGCCCACTGACTTTTGAACAATGGACCCGGAAGTACTAAAATGGCAACTCTTTTACGGATTTTGGCTTACAAAAATACGTCATCCCTGAAACACTCTATCTGGCTAGAAGAAGAAAAATGACTACCGATGCACTTCACATCCGATATTTTTTATATATTTAATGCTAATGTTCTTTGCTTTGCTCTTACAGAGATTTGCCAAGAACAGAGACAGTCAATTATTATGTGGAGCCTGTCGAGTTATTAAAGTGTTGATGGGAATTTCAACACATTTTGAATCATTAAGATGGACTTTGCTAATTATGTTCATCACAGAAGTGATTCCATCTGGCTGCCACCAGCGCTACATAAATCTAACAAACGCTTCACCCTATAAAGTGGACATCATCACTTCCAGAAAACTCACCTGTTTACACCACACAGCACTGGGTGCTGGGTACTCTGTGCTATTTTCTCCCTCAAGGAACCGGGCTTTCTCAGAGATGATTTCGATTCAGGTTCCATTTCCATAATGATGGCTCAGTTTGAGTCGGTCATTATGTGATTGAGTGTGATTATTAACTGCCTCCCCTGATGAATGGTGTGTTTCCATTCGCTAATGAGAGCGAGATGAAAGATATTTCCCCTGTCTCTCACTCCCAGGTGATAGAACTCTTTATCAGGGCCCTGACGGAGTCTGCCTCACCTGCAACACCCATCAACAGACTGAAAGCACAGCAGCTGTTCATGGCAAACTTGATGTTCTTGTCCCAGACGTGAGGATGAGTGTCCTATGGTCCTTTTCAGTTTTAATAAATAGTGCTTGTTTTGGAGATCATTTCCTTTGTGTGGTAAATGAGCTTAGCAAACGACTTTGACAGATTATTTGGTATCTCTTGTAAGCAGCGTTACAATATTTCCACGTGAACATCATACTTACAGTCACCAGGAACTTTAAGGAGTGTTGTTTTCAGATTTAGCTGGTTAGCATGGCCCATTTTGCCCCTGCTGGTAGACATTGTAACTACACCATCTGCTAACAGGCATCTCAATTGGAAACCATTCAAAATTAACTTATATTCGGGAGAAATCATTTATATAAAAAATGTATACAAAATTATTATATATACCAGTGTATATTACCAGTGTATGATTATTTTGGAGAGAATTTTTAATTAATTTATATTATTATTATTTATTACAATTTTCCTGTCAGTTGCTTTTGGCATCATATATAAAATAAATAATAGATAGATAAATAAAATAAAATAAATCATAAATAATAGATATATCCATCTATCTATCTATCTATCTATCTATCATTTTATGTTGGTTTTAATTTGGTAATGGGTCAATGGGTTGATTAAATGTACATTTTTACCAAACAAATAACAGTGATTTTTTTATGGGTTGAAAAAAAATTGTCCCTTTAAAAATAATTAAAAATTAAAATAATTACAATTTAATTTAAAATATTTAACTCCGTAATGTGTGCTCTATAATGTACTATAGGAAGTAATTTATCATGGGACAGGACTTGGTCTGCCTTTAACCATTCAAGGTCCTTCCTGCTCATCCCAATGACTTGAAACTGGCACTTCAGAGTCTCCAAATGAGGCATCACGGCGGTTTGTTGGCATGGCGCATCTACAGAATCATGGCGCACGGTGCACAGTGGGCACGGACTGGTCTTTGTCCGCCAGTCTGGATGAGGATGTTGTGTTGGAGAGCTCTGCCATCGGCTCTCACCCTCCAGTCAGGCAGCCTGGTGCATATGATTAGCCCTGGCCGCATCCTCTCTGTGCCTGGCTGGGTAATTACAACACTTGCCCTTTGAAAACAAGCCCTCTATTGACATCCATTCTCTCTGTCCTTCTCTATCTTTTCATGTCTTATCTTACTCCTTCAGCATGTTCCACTTTATCTGATGTTAGTCTTAAGATTCCCCAGGGAAGCTTTGAAGGCTGTTTTTTATATAAGCTCCACTCTGATATTGTGCTCTCATCCGATAAACCCACCTTTCTAGTTTTTGAGTGAATCTACTTCAGGATACCAGAGGTCTGTCTGATGGACTAGTAAGGGCCACGGTAGAGATAGCAAGCTGAGTAGGTAGCTCTTAAAGCATCTGTTCCTCAATCTATGACTAATCAGTAGGAGTGACCAGAGCCGGTGCCTCTGTACAGGAGCACTGCTTGTCCTGTGCTCATTTTAGGGGTTTGAGCTTGGAGGAGCCGCATTTGTTTTCGTGGTTCTGGCCCTTCATCATTAGCCGAGCCAGGGCTAGCCTGCTCAGACCCTGGAGGGAATGCCATTAAGGCCACATTATGGACGCTCCGCCAAGGTTTGTTTTTGCGAACGGGGGCCCGGGACTCCCTCCGGACCTGGCTGTGCTCCTGGGGTCCAGTTTGTTTATAACACTTCTTTCGCAGTTTGAGGAGGTTGTCACCACAGCCTCACCATTGGGTTTCCAATGCTAATTGGTCTCCTGGAAGTTTGCTAATGGTTCCAAGTAGTGGGGGAATAAATTATAGTGGCGCGCTCTATGGCAACAGTCACACACACAAAGAAAAGGAAAACAACGAATGGTTCTTGTTTTTTCAGGTTCTTAAAGATCAAACAATGTGATAAATGATTCATAAAGTCAGATCGTTTTGCATTCAGTGGCTCTAAGTGAGGATTATTTGTCAAATGGCAATCTAATGCATGACAGCATGAAGCAAGTAGGATGAATATATCAGGAGTCTTAGTGGTCGGAAAAATCGATACAATATGATTTGAAGTTATTGCTTAGCTAATCTTAGTCGAGGGTAATGATTTTTTTGTTTCGGCATCTACTTCATCATTTCATCAAACTGTGTAGAGAAAAATGGAACAGATACTGCAACTCAGTGTCTCCCGCTCTGCTATTCATGAGCCACACTGCTTCATGATTAATTTCGATTATGCTTAGTCATTATTCATAAAAATACCTTTTTTTCTCTTTAAATTATATTATATTAAAGGAATATAAATTGAATATGTATTTAAATATTTTTATTTAAATATATTGTATTATAATGTTTACATGTAATAATATAGTATGTACTAGAATTATTTAGTATATTGATAGTCCAAAATTCTTAGGGGTATCCGTGTCTCTTGCTGTGAGAACTCAATCCTGCAGGAAACACTACTGCAAAAATATTTCTCTTCTGACTGATGATCTCAAACTGATGAGATTAAACTTAATTGGAACCATTTTCACAAAGCAGGCGGCACCAGTGGTCGCACCAGTTTGGTTGGCAAGGGGTGAATGGGCTAGGCGGGATGTATTTAGAGGAACCACATGCCACCAGATGAGATGCCAGCCTGGGGCGAGGGCATGGGCAAGGGCAGAGGTGATGACAGTGTTGGAGAGGAGCATTTGGGAGAGAGCCGCTGCACCAGGACTTCTCTGGGTGCTGTCCAAACTGTCAGAGGCTGGCTGAGTGACCTTGGCGGGGGCCCAGCCCAGCTGGAGCACAGGGCGAGAGGAGAAAGAGGGCGACCTGTCAGGCAGCCACCAGCTTGAGAAAGACTTGCCGGTCACCACATAGCTCCATCCCTATCTCTAAAAGAACACAGCAGAGCTTTTCTTCTAAGCATGAAAGCAAATCTTAGAACTCTTTTTTTGTACACTCATACATAAATCTGTGGTAATTGGGCATTTTTTTGTTGTCCTTTTTCTTTGGTTCCAATTCAAGTCACTATCAAATTCTGTATTTATAAAATCTAACTGAACATCAAGCTGCTTGACTAAAGATACAGTCAAATACTGTGTTGCTCTCTAAAACAATAGTAAACATAAATTAATATTATATATATATATATATATATATATATAAGAGGTAGCAGTTGCCAATATCAAACCCAAAAACATTCCAATATCGATCCAACCCTATTAGATAGACATGTAACTTATGTCTTTTATTCATTTCAGCCGGTGTTGTGACAAGAAGAGCTGCGGGAACCGAAACGAGACGCCATCTGATCCTGTCATCATCGACAGGTAAGAGCATCTTCTATCTTCCTCTTGCCCTCCAAAATGGAAAGACATCTGCATCTACAGGCATCTGGATATTTTATTAATGTGCATTTTGGGGATCAAATCCCACAACAGGACATAATCAGCCTTGCCGCCAAGTGAGCGAAAGACAGTGTGTGTAGACTTGCTCCTCTTGACAAATGCAGCTCTCACAGCAATCACATTTTGAATTCTGAAACATTTAGAGATATTGAATATATTGCATAATTCCCATCAATTTAGCTTTTTCTCATGGGTTAATGCTACATGTTTTTAGTTTTAGGATTGCTAACTGCTTATTCTGTTCTCAATACCGTCTCTCAAACTCTTTACCCTGTTGACTGGACTTCTACACGCTAAAAGCGTCTGTAGGGAGGTTTTGTAATGACTGAAATGAAGTGGATGTGATTGTGTGAGAGAGTGTGCACTTCCAAACAGGACAGCAGTGAGAGTGTCCTCTTAGGGCACAGGGGTCATTACCAAATCCATGTTGGCTCGTTAGACTGGCCTTGGAGCGTATCCAGCGGACAGAAGTGAAGGGAGCCGGAAATCAGTGACCCACCCTCTTTCTCCACACACACACACACACTTACAAAAGCGTGTACGCACAACCACACACTAAATCTTCTCACCTCTAGCTGCCATGGAGTGCATCTGATTGGTGTAAGGTCCGAACCTGCAGAGATGATGTCACCTTTTCATGCTCACGGTGTCGTTTATGGAATGTACCATTATTTAGCCGCTCAGTAAATGACAAAACCCTGCAGCCATTATAGCAGCCGCACCAGCAAACAAACTACCAATAATGCCAATTTACTAACAACCAACGGGGCGAGAGAACCATCAAAGGCGCGACAAAATACGACAAAAGTGTGCACGAGAGCGTTTGAATTTTTCATCTCTCTACAATGAGGCTGATATTGCCGTCTAAAATGTTTCCTCTGGGAGTAGTCGGAATGAATGGCGCTACGTGGGGGCTGAATCGCTGATGTCTAGCGTGTGTGTGCCAGCCACTTCCGAACTCCTCATTACGCTGACCAAAACCCATTCTAAAGTGTTTACGGATGACAGCAGATGCATGTGATTTAAGACCGACCGGCCCATACGACTGCATTTTAGCGCCCTATTAAGATGGGCAGTATTTATAGGAGCGCCGCCCTGAGCTCCTTAAACTAACAGATAAATCAGTTCGGTGCGAGGGACGGCTGCCGGTCCACCATGCAAATCAGCTGTAGCGCCCGTCACTGTAAAAGGCTTAATGACGGCCATTCATCCTGCCCTCCACAGTCTCTACCTTTGTTTCAAGCACAGATCTGATCTGTAAATCAAGACCTGCTGCGCATGGCTGTGTGGCCCCATGCATCACAAATAAGAGCCCTCGCACGCACACGTGCACGCTTGCACGCTTGCATTAAAACAACCAGACCTGGTGGCGTTGGAAAGAAACATTTTTCACGCCTGCCTCTCCGTTAGTTTGGTCTCATCAGTTTTGCCCCATTGATCGTGATGTTTACCGCTAATGGGGACGATAAACAACAACAAACAAAGAGCTTCACTTGATTCTTTTTGATTTCGGCCCATTATTATCTGTCATGGGAAATAAGGCAATTACGGTGACACAGTCACTTCCTGTCCTGTTCCAGCTTCGTAAATGTCTATTCTCGAGTCCACTTAGTTAGGGGTTAAGTATGGGTCAGAAAGGTCAGGGGTCGTATCTCATGACCCCTTTACTTACACAAACTGGGAAGCATTACATGCATTTGCAGATCAAGAAGTGCTCAGGCAAGAGTAAAGTGAAATATTGCTGTGCGAGCTTTAAAACAGGTGTTAGTACAAGCTCATATTGCAATTAGATCGTCCAGAGAGTTCTCTTAGTTGGGCAATAAATTGTGCAGTGCTGTCAGTGATTATAGCAGGATGGGGGGAGTTTGGTCTAATTACCTCCTTTTGCCTCCCACCCATCCAGCCTCAAGCATGATCGTCATAATTTGCTTCTATGCTTTTCATTTTGAGTCATGCACAAGGAGTGAAGCATTGAAATGAGACCATAGATAAGGGTTAACATCCATTTGCATGTGACCTTCCTGACCTTTGCTCCATGTCTGTGTTCACAAAGTGTCTCTCCTCTTGTGTCTTTATCAGGAAGGCATGTTTTCATGAAGGTCCTGTATGGCACAGATCAGTAGATGTGTGAAAGAGAAGATAAAGACTTCTTGAGACGTGCGTTTTAAAGGGGTCATATGATGTTGCTAAAAATAACATTATTTTGTGTATTTGCTGTAATGAAATGTGTTTATGCGGTTTATTTTCCACATACTGTACATTATTGTTTCTCCTTTATGCCGCGCCTTTCTGAAACGCGTCGATTTTTACAAAGCTCAACGGTCTGAAAAGCGAGGTGTGCTCTGATTGGCCAGCTATCCAGTGCGTTGTGATTGGCCGAATACCTCAAGCGTGTGATGTAATATTGTTTTATGTGCAGTGAGGCCCAACGGTCTGGGACAACATTGTAAATCTTGGAGTAAAAAATAATTTTAAAATAAATAAACAATGTATTGGGTTTTAATTTTAAGGGTAATAATGATAATTTTTGACATTGAACATATTAACTCTTTTGTACAAGTCAATTTATTTTACAATTTAATGTTTTACACAAATTGTTAAACTGATAATATGATTTGTAATAAAAAAGGTAAAAAAAAGTTTTTACATTTTACTATATATATATATACACACACACACACATATATATATATATATATATATATAATATGTGTGTATGTTTGCGTTAAGTGTATGTTTTCTTATGCAGTGAGGCCCAAAAGTCTGAGACCACACTGAATATCTGGGAGTAAAAATACATTTTAAAAGAAATAAACAATAAAATAAATTCAAGGTTAATAATAAAATATTTGTTATACATTTATTTTTTGAAAGCATTTTATTTACACCTTTTTATAAATCTGTACATTTTTAAATATATTTCTATAAATAAAAATGCTGATAGTACAGAATAGAAGCTTTTTTACTAACGGTCCTTCCCTTTGCGTGATTATTTATATGTGTGCTTATGTCAGAACTTAATGTCACAATTCGCTGGAGCACTGGCACAAGGAAACGAGGAGATTTCACAGAACGAGAGTCTTTTAATGATCCAAATGGGAGACACAGAGCACAAGGATGACGTTCACAACAAGACCCGACAAGGAAACATGAGGCAGACTACACATTTATACTAAACTTAACGAGGGACAGACAGGTGCGGGGAATCAACTAATAATGAGACAACGAGAACAGGAACACGACCAAATAAGGGAACACAGAAACAGAAACAGGGGCAAAACAGGTCCATAATCCTGACATATCGTCAGGAATGGGTGGGAACTAAGGAGGCGGCTCAGGAGGAGGACGGACACCCGGGAGGGGGCTGGCAGACAGAGACCAGGGAGGCGACGAAGGAGGGAGGAGCCAGGGAGGAGACAGGAGGGGCCCGGAGCAGGAGGAGCACAGCAGGACCCAGGCCACAGCCATAACCACGGCCAATGGTGGAGCCGAAGGAGGGAGGAGCCATGGAGGAGGAATGGCCGCCGACTCCAGGGGGCTGACCAACGGCAGAGAGGGAGCTAGGAGCCATGGTGGAGCCGACGGGTCAACGGGCCGAGGTGGAGTCCGGAGCCCAGAGGCTGGAGGCGGAGTCAAGGGATACTCCGACCATGGCGACGCTGGAGGATGGCAGTCCAGCGGAGCTCGCACCGCACAGATGGTGGGCTGAGGGCGAGCAGAGGGGCTGCCAGAAGACGGCGGAGGAGGAAGCAGGAGCGGGTGGGAGGGCGGTCATTTGTGAGCCTCCGGGCTTTCAGTTCAGAACTCAGGAACGGGAGCCCTCTCCTCTTCGGTGTGGCACAGTTGCCGCGCCATACACAGCTCACCCTCAGCCACGGTGCAGGGGGTGGAGCTCCTCTCCGCGCTCACACCGCCCGCAGCTTTCTCCCTCGTGGCGGGCGCTGTTGCCGGCTCCCCCTCAGCCACGGTGCAGGGGGTGGAGCTCCTCTCCGCGCTCACACCGCCCGCAGCTTTCTCCCTCGTGGCGGGCGTTGTTGCCGGCTCACACACCTTGACTGACGTCATCAGCAGCTCTGGCTCCGTGGCAATCCTCAGCTCTGTCGCTTCGTGCGGCGATGGCTTGTCAGTCGCACTGGCGGAGTGGCACTCCACTCCACAAAGGCGGCAAAATTCGCTCGAGGACCATCTTCGAATGACAGCGCTCTGCACGTGATGTTTAAACTGGCGTCGTAGAACACACAGAGCGCGTCTTCTGGGTAGCTGGTTAGAGCAGCGAGGACCAGGAACGGTCTAGTATGGCCCTCGAGCAATCTCTCTCCCTGCTCCAGCAGGAGGAGGAGGTACTCTGGACGGGAGAGGGGATCCATGGAAAACACAACGGAAACAAAACACTGAGGGAAAAAAAGCGGAAACAAAAACGGAGTGTAGACACACTGAGGCAACTGTTTCGGTCGGGTCTTCTGTCACAATTCGCTGGAGCATGGGCACAAGGAAACGAGGAGACGTGGAGATTTCACAGAACAAGAGTCTTTTCATGATCCAAATGGGAGACACAGAGCACAAGGATGACGTTCACAACAAGACCCGACAAGGAAACATGAGGCAGACTACACATTTATACTAAACTTAACGAGGGACAGACAGGTGCGGGGAATCAACTAATAATGAGACAACGAGAACAGGAACATGACCAAATAAGGGAACACTGAAACAGAAACAGGGGCAAAACAGGTCCATAATCCTGAACACTTAACTCTATAGTTGACTGTTTGTATAGGATTACGTCTACATATATATACAAATGTGCATGAGTGCTACTCAATCTTAACCCTTTGTTTGACTGTTTGTATGCGTTAGAGCTGTGTGTGGTTGGTTGTACATATATGTGCATGTCTATGTCAGAGCTTAACCCAGTGGGGGTG